TTCACAATTGAGGTATGACAAGATGGTTAAATCATTTGCAGAGTTAGCAAAAATGGCTGCAGATGATGATGTCAAATCCGGTTGTATTTTGGAATGGATTGACGTTTAGCATAAACATATGGTGAAGTCGAAGTCAGGTTGTGGGAGTAATGTTCAGTCCATGCATATTACTTATATAGCATCATACTGTGTAGCAGCACATGATACTGTCAGCGGCTGCGTACGAGATCTGAAATGGGCAAAGAGAAATGGGCTCCTAAGAAACTCCGTAAAAAGTGCCATTTGGAGTCAAGTTCGAATAATGCGAAGGTATGTTCCAATATTCCATAATCACATAGATTTATTTATTTATTTTATTATTATTATTATTATTATTATTATTATTATTTGTTCATAAACAAAGTATAATACATAACGATGTGATGGAAATAAGTTGTAGTGCACCCAAAGGGAAGAGAACTAAGATACGAAAAATTAATCTTGGAAATGGTGCAATCGTGTTTCAAGCAGCTCAACAAGCACAACATTCCATTCCTTTACTGTAATCATATTCACAATTCCTAATGGTTAGTATGTATTGATGATTCAATAAATTTTCGTACATGTACTTGTAGGTGTTACTGATATTGTTATTTCATGTAGGGTGACAACCAAAGTCTTGACTACACAAAACACATACAGTCATTCAATTTAATCCAACCGGATCCAAGAAATGTTATATTCAATGCTCAAGGTAATGATGTGGTTATTTTTTAAGTTGTTTAAAATACTTCATCTATCTTGTTTGTGTATTATTCTTCTCATTTGTACAGTATGTAACGCAATGTCTTGCTACATTTGACAGTCACTGGAAAAAAAATGGCACAAACTTATGAAACGAGAATAACAAATGTGGAAATATATGTAAGGTAAACTGAAATTGGCATTACATTGATTTACTACGCTCCATTCGTATCTTCACATAGCGATGAAAAATTATTATGCATCTATCACTTATTATGCTCAATTGTTGTCAACTAATCTTCTTTTTGCCATATGATTACAAATGGAGAATTTAAATGGGATATCCAGCAAGTGCCATATGAATGGGTGAACAGATAGTGTTGAGCCTTGAATTGTGAAGCTAGTTTAATATGTTTAGAATGGCCTATTTGACTAAACAATATACTACTGTTTAATTGAAAATTTAAAAGTAATGGTTGACTTGAGCTGCATTTTTTGTCCTTTGTTAATGATCTTTCAAGTTTATTGTACTAGGTTTATAAACAGATGTGCTTGTTCAATATATTTCTAGCTTCAATTTTATGGTTTGAGTACAGGAATCAAAGTTGCTTTTGTTTAAAATACTTCACTGTTGTGTAAAGGATATGAATACATGGACAATGGTACCATTAGGGATCATGTTTATGGATTAACTCTTCTCGAATGTAATTGGAAACATAGGCTTCAAATTTGCATTGGGTTAGCAACATGGAATCCATATTTTCATACAGCTTCTGCTAAGGCGACCATTCATCGCGATGTGAAAGTTCATACGAACTTCATCCAAACGACAATAGAGATTTCATACATCGAATACAATTACAAAAGAAAATTAATTACTTAGTACATCCAAATCAAACTACTAATCCCTACTAATTCATAAAATACAAAAGTAACAACTATATCTCATTCACGCTCGTTTCCTTTCTGATCTCCTTCAGCATTAGCTCTTCTTTTGCATATTGTCACGTTAGCAGAAATGTTGACTTCATGTTCACCAGTTATTTGACATCGCGTTTGAAACATGCAGCATAGCTCTTTAGCTTCTTCATTCGCAACATGATTATTCGAAGTAACACTAACTGAATTTGATTCACCGCCCATTTCACCATCTCCAACCCACTCCCAATATCCACATTTTGCACTACAGGAATTGAATAATCTATCTTTGTTCTTACTCACTTTCTTCACTTTAAAACATTTAATGAATGCATTTTTGCACTATGGACAATGATGTTTCTCCCAGCATTCTGCAAAGAAATGCCCCTTTTGTCTACAACTATGGCAGACTCCATGGTTCTTTCATGCCATGATTCCGTCTAGTTTTAGACAATTAAATCCACTATCTTGCTACTTCAGGGAAATGAGGAAGATGAATGGACATGAAATAGAAAGGACAAAAATATCATAAATTGAGAATTCAACTAGCAACTGTAAAAAATAACCATGACCAGAGTCGTTCACATCGGTGTGAGTATTTCACACCGACAATGGGCTGATGGGATTCAACAAATGAAACCAAAAAATTACATTTGACTCATTTGTTATATATTCACTAGATATAATAAAGTAGCTTAATGCCAATCAAACAACATACGTACTTTTCGCTTGCAAGCTGGAGAAGCTTCGCAGATGAGAGCTGTCACCTTCGACCTTTTTTCTGGTATAGTTGGAGAATTGTCGTCGATGATGGTGTTCAATTTTTTGGTTACAACAAGAGAAGAGGCTTCGAGTTGCCTCGATTTGGTGCCGTTAATCGCGGGGTTTGAGGGATGGATTTGGGGAACAGTAATGGTTGTGGGGATAATGTTGGTTTTAGGTGCAGCAGGATAAGCGGATTCGAGATGCCGCGATTTAGTGCCGGGAATCGATTGTTTGCAAGATGGATTTGGTGGAATGGTAGGGATAGAGGGGGTAACAGTGATTTAATATTAGGGGCCAATTTTGTGGTTTTTGAACAGGTGGGAATCTTTATTTTTTTTTCACTACGTCAGCATGTCAATATTCCCGTTATTACTTTCTGTTACCGTAGCGCAATTGTTTTCAACATGTCAACATTCATGTTACCACTTTATATCAGAATTTGGTTTCATAAAATTAAATAGACAAGAACGATACGATGATTAACAAGAATTCTTTATACCTTTTACACTCGATTTTTTCTTGATCATTATTCAATTTTTTTTGCAAATTTAAAAATATTAATATAAATTTGACTTTAAAAAAAAAAATTATATTCAAACTTTAAATCCTGAAAAAAATCTGGTTCCAACTGTTTTTACTTTATTATTGGATTAAAAACTCAAGTTGGTCACCAAACTTGTAAGTTATCTCACTTTAGTCTACAATGTTATAAAGTTATTTCATTTGAACCACTATTCACGTGTCCTATAGTAAATTTTAATGGTTTTGTCAATGTTGCTTATATATTTTATTGTATAAACGTGTGATTGAAAATGAACATATGAATTAAAGAGTTTTAAAATAATTATTGTCAAATAGGGGCTAAAATAATTTTATAAGAGCATCTTGAAAATACTTTTTAAAAGTGAAATGGCTTCTATTTAAAATTATGCACCAAGTGACTTTTAAAATGAACATTTTAAAATAAAATTTGAAGTGTCAAATTCATTCTCTATAATTAAATATATTCAAAATATTTCAATTTTCAATAATTCATATATTGATTTAACTAAATAGTATATGCAAAGAAAATAAAGGAAAATAATATAATAATTTGAAGGGACGTTGATGAAAATAAAAGTTAGGAAAAAATAATAAATACATACTTAGAGTAGTAAAATTAAATGTTAAAGATAAAGATTCTATTGAAATATTTTAAGAAAATTACTCTCTAAATTTATAGATATTTTCTAAATTGCAAAATATGCTATTTGAAAATAGATAATCTTTTGGAAATGCACTAAGTTTATTAACGGTTTATACTACAAATTTAAGTTTGGAATCTAAAATAACATATTTTGAAAGTTCATTGACCAGTAATGTTTTTAGAGCATTTTCAAGAGAATTTCTAAATTCAAGATCCTCTTTATGAAATTCTGTATATTTTAGAAACTCTATGATTAAATATAAATTTCAAGAAAATGCTTAATTATAATTTATTAAAATAAAATAGAGAAATATTTAAAAAGTTACAAATTTCAATATTCGACTTATCAAATTATTAGAACCATGTTTGAATTGATTGCCATTGGCATCTAAAAAATAAGTTAAATAAAAACAAGAAAATAATAATTATTTGTTAAAATACAAAATAAAGAATTAAAATAGAGAGTATAGTTCAAGTGTATAAAATATTTTACTCTCTAATAATAAAGATTTTCTTTATTATATATAGGACGTTCTTTATAAAAAAGAAAATTCTTGTAGATATTCTAATAATTTAATTATTTGCATACTTGTGTGTTTAACACCCACTTTGGAGAAAATTTTGATTTGGAATAATGATTGATAGAAGAATGTGTGGTGAAAAAATAAGAAGAATTTTTGGGTTTATATATATAATATTATTTTATTGATAAAATGTGTGGTTGAAATGAAGAAAGAGAAAAAAATGAGAATGAGAATTGAAAAAAAACGGATGTCAAACTTGTTTGGGCCACGTTAAAATTTTTATTATCATTCTTCTACTCATTTTCAACGACATATTTTTCAATAAAATAATTTTTTCCATCACATCAATAACTTTTCTTTATATTTCAACCACACATTCTCTATTAATATATTATTCCAAAATGAGCAATGCTATGTAGCCACATTGGGTTATAACCACAGTTTAGGTAACTCTAAATGATAGGCTAAATGAAATGTGAAATTAAATAACACCATCTAAATTGAAGTTGTAATCACAGTGGAGGCTAAATACCATTACTGTTCCAAAATATATTTTTCCAAAATAACATGGCAAACACGCTTCTTAACATATGAATTTAAAAATATATTTTTCCAAAATAACATGGCAAACACGCTTCTTAACATATGAATTTAAAAAACTCGAATTATGTTGAAACGCGATTTCACTAAAATCGCAAGAAGGTTGCCATTCACGAAAGACTCTGTACTCTCTCTCTCTCTCTCTCTTCTTCACTAATACACCCCAACACCCACCCCTGACCCCACCTTCCAAAGTTATCGTTAATGGGGATAATTTACTAATAAAGGGTTGTGACGGCACATAATTTTTTGATTTTCCCATAATTTTTGTTTGTTTCAAACAAATGTCTTCTATAACGTTGAAATCATCGTTTTTCTTACCCTCTCATTCTACTCCTTCAGCTTCGTTTTTCCTGCCCCTTTCGATCCGATTGCCTCGGAAATTGAATTATAAAGGAAGGTTTTGTGTTATCAGAGCTCACTCTTTTGACAATTTAGAAAATGATGATCAAAAGAACAATAAAAGTAGTTCCCCCAATGCCGGCGACTCTAAAATCCCCAACGGCACTATGGTAATTTCCTCCTGTGTCTTTGTATGGTGGAATTTGGATGCAGTTACATGATGAGTTCAAGTTCAATTTCTTATTTTTGTTTCATTTATTTTTATTTATTTATTTTTTTGGATTTTTATTAGCATAAGAGCCGGAAGGATATCCTTTTGGAGTATGTACAAAATGTACAGCCGGAATTTATGGAATTATTCGTCAAAAGGGCTCCCCAGCAGGTGCTTATTTTCACTTCTTGTATGTTATTTTTTCTGAAATTGCTAGGGTTCTTATTAGCATTCATAAAATGTAATTTAGATTTTAATAATTAATGTTGCTTCTTAGAAAATTTAGATAAGTGATTAATCAAGGTAGCTTTTGCTTATGGCTGCACATTCGTAGTTTGTTAATCTATACGATAGTTATACAATTGGAATGACATTTTATCAGGTAGTCGATGCAATGCGCCAAACAGTGACAAATATGATTGGAACGCTACCTCCTCAATTTTTTGCAGTAACAGTAACTACTGTAAGTATTCATGTTGTACTCTTCTAGTTTTGTGATGAAAATGTTAGCTTATGTTTAAGACTGAGCTTAAAAGAGATTTGCTTATGAGTGCATAAGTAAGTTTTAAAATAAATAGTTTTGTATTGGTCAAAGTTGGAAAAGTTACTTATTTTGAAAATACCTTGTACCTTGCTTTCAAAATAAGTAACCTTTTTTTCACTTTTATTAAAATAAAAAAGGGTAACTTATCCTAACGTGTGGAAAACGAAAAAGTTACTTAAAAGTAAGTTTAAGTACTTTTAAGCCTAGCAGAACATTCTGTGAGATTATATCATGATTCTGGGTATTTTGGCATCTTTTTAGGTTGCGGAAAATCTTGCACAGCTCATGTATAGTGTCATGATGACCGGATATATGTTTAGGAATGTGCAACATCGGTTGGAATTGCAACAAAGCTTGGAACAGGTTGCTCTTCCTGAACCGCAAGAAAAAAAGGTGAGTCTTTGTGCTTGTCTTATCCACACCTCAGTTAATTTGCTTTTCCTCCAGTTGAATATTTGATACCCAGGGGAAAGAGGAACTTGTTGAGATAAATAACTACTAGCCAGACATAGTATATTTGGAAGAAGTTGTGAGTATAGTTTAGATGGAAAAGGGAAGGCAAATGATATCTACATTAAGTTTCTTCATTTTATTTTCTATTATTTTTAGTTTTGTTTGCGTAATCCTTTGTTTTTAATCAGCTGTGGCAGCTTTTACTTTTGAAGTCACGACTTAAAAATAAGTTTTCGTATTCTGATTCAATTCTTCGGAAACACTTGCTAACTTGCCTGTTGTATAGTGGTGGAAATTGTAGTTATCAATTATAGCGGTCACTTATAAACAATGATCACCTTTCATGTCGCATGATCTTCCTGATAGACGTCTCCTATCCTATGATTTTCCACCGATGGAAATTGATTCTTCGGGAACCAAGCTTGACTTGTTTTGTTGTTCGTGATGTTTTTATAAAAAAATGAGGATCAAAGCATATCACCCCTTTTGCGAGCCTCGATCCAGGTCAGCAGCCTGGTAGGGCTTCACTCTAACTACGTGAACTAGGCCTTGGCTTTTTCTGTTGTTCTTGACTTGTCTTGGACTAATAAACAAGCATTCCTTGATTCTTTTAGCTAGATAAAATATGGTTCAATCAATATTTGGAGTTCCGAGTTTGTATGTTCTTTTAGGAGAACCATGACAAGTTCTCTTTGAGGTTAGTAATCTGCTGTCATTATTGATGTATCATTTTACAAATCTCCAAAATACACTGTTTGTGTTGTACGCGTCTGTGCAGATTACAAGAAGTGGAAATCAAAAGTGAACGTCAAAAAGAAAATGACGTTGTATTTACTTGTTAATGATGTAGAGAGTAATAGAGGCCTAATTGACGACATAATATATTATGATAAGATGTGTCAAAAAAAGTATATTAGATTTAGATATGATTAGATAAGATTGGTTTTTTGAGATAATAATGCGTATAAAAAGTATATTAGATTAGGTGTGATTAAATAATATTGGTTTTTATGAGAAATTAATATGATTGGATCTATTAGAAGTTTTTTCCTTGGACTTAAATTCTTTATCACTTGACAACTAGCGTTTCTGTCTGTGTAGACTATTGAAAATGTAATAGAATTACCAATTTTTTTTCTTCCTAGCGAACTTCTCTCATTTTCTCTCTTCTTCCTTCTCCCATTTATCTCTCATTCAATTCTCTTCTCCTCCTCTCTCTTTCCCGTCCTGCATGGGTTCATTACTGCTGCAATCTGGCAGATACGGAAACTGTTGCTGACCAATTACTATTTTCTTCAGTCAGATATTGTTTTCAATAGGTTTATGTTTGGGTCTCTTGTGTTGATTTAAATAAAGGGAAATTGGCGCAAATGGTCCCAGACCTTTGCATTTCTGGTGTCAATGGTCCTTTTGGATGGGATAATGCAATTGCTCTAATTTTACTTTTATTTGAAGGACTAAATTCGTCAAACTTAAAATAAAATAAGTAAAAATAGTTTCTAAAATTCCCCCTTCAAAATTGTGAAATCAAAAATTACATATAGAAAAAAAATTTTAAAAAGAAAAGATGTAAAATGAAAAAAAGAAAAAAAAATAGAGTACAATCGTTTTCTTCCAACCCCCAAAACCACTGCCCCAACTCCACACCAACTCCACTGCTGCAACCACACCCAATCCTGATCACCAGATGTCATCACACCCAAATAACATGGCCAGAACATGTTCGAAGTCCATTGTAATAGCACCACTGTTATCTACCGTGAAATCTCTCTCCGCCTCCAACTCTGCCTCTAAATCAGCAAAACACTACCCAACCCACCCAGCCCTATCCGTGCTGCCACAACTGCCAAATCGGTTCAATTTGCTGCCCGTCTCTAACACCATCTCCAGCCGTTCCACCATCTTCACCATCACCACAACAGTAGAAATTAAAATTATAACCACCACCGATGGCTATCACGGCCACAACTATAAAAGTCAAATCCAACACAGATTTCAATTGCAAATTTCATGTATTTGAGATGCAATTTCAAAGATTTCAACTCAGATTTCATATATGAATTTGAGCCCAAATAAGTTGTTTGATTTTTTAAAATTTTTTGCAAATTGATTTTCTGCATAATAAATGTACCAGCAGTGGTAGATAAAGTTATCTGAAGGGATGAGAAACTTAGTATCTAGAATCCATTTCCTGCAATTTCGCTAGTGGCATTATCTTGAAAATTGAAGGATTTATTCTCTTCTTCAGTTGATGGATTTTGTGGTAGGGGATGAAGAAGTTTCAGATTTTGAATGAGTGGTGGTGGTGGTGAAATGTGCCGGCAGCAGTGTGATGTTTTGCAGTGTTTTTGTTGGGTGGGAATGGGCTGGTTTGATAAAGAGTCATAATTTTTTAATTTATAAGGTTGTGGGCAAAATTGTAACAAGGGTGAAAGATTGGGGACTAAACGTATAATCTATCCTTTATGTTACTTGATTTTTAATTTGACAATATTAAGTTATTTGATTTTTAATTTGACAAATTTGGCCCTTCAAATGAAAAAAAAGGAGAAATTGGATTCCACACACAAAATTAATGGCAATTTTGGATGGAATCTGTCCAAAAGGACTATTTGCGCCAAAATGCAAAGGTTTGGGACCATTTGCACTACTTTTAATGTTTTGGGGCCAATTTTCTAAAATATACCAATTGAGCTTTTATTATTGTTACATTCAAATGTGTTAATGATATTAGGTATTCACATCTCTGATGAGCTATTTTGACTTGGTTTTACGAATGTACAGGATGCACAAGATTATGCTCCAGGTACACAGAAAAAAGTGACAGGTGATGTTATAAGGTGGAACAATATCTCGGGTCCTGAAAAAATAGATGCAGTCAAATATATTGAGTTACTTGAAGCAGAGATCGATGAACTTAACAGCCAAGTAGCAAGAAAAACTGCTAATGGGCACAATGAACTGTTGGAATATCTAAAATCTCTAGAGCCTCAAAATCTGAAGGTTAGAGATCCTTTTCCCGTTTTAGGTAGCAGTTGAAACATTATGATTTGTGGATGCGTAAAGAAAGATCTTTAGATGCCATGTTAGTTGAATCATAGATGGTTGTAGCTTTGATTTAGTAATTTCAAGAAACTGTCAAGGCTTGACCTTGGACTATGTTTTGTACCCTATCTTGGGAAAGCATGATTTGCTAAGCTTAAAAAACTAAGAGTCAACTTTCTTTCTGATCCTTATTTATAACTTTGACATAGTTTATACACAAGGGGAGCCTTGATGTTTTGTACCCTATCTTGGGAAAGAGCATGTTTTGCTAAGCTTAAAAAACTAAGAGTCAACTTTCTTTCTGTTCCTTATTTATAAGTTTGACATAGTTTATACACTAGGGGAGCCTTGTCATGCCAGTGGTCTGGGTTTGAATCTCACTTGGTGGGAAATGTGAATTAAAAAAAAAAACAACTTTGACTAATAAAGAAATTATTTATTTCTGAAATTATTCACTCATAAGTTAACTTTTTAAGCTTATCCAAACATCCTCTAATTCGTGTGAACGGTATTTCAAACTTAGAACAACCGGGCCATTTGTGAATCAACAATATTCTTTACTACTTGTTAAACAATTCAAAGAAATAAAGAAAAGGAAAAAGGAGGCTAGAGTTTCATTAATTCTGCATAATGAAATTGAGTACAANTTTCATTAATTCTGCATAATGAAATTGAGTACAAAAAGATGATTTAACCTAGAAACAAAGAGACTATATATTGGCTAAATAAAGGAAATTGAAAAGATTATTCTACCCTTAATAAACAATAAAATAAAATAACCCTATATTCTTAACACTACTAAACTAGAGGAAATAGTGACAAATGTAGTTCTCTAATTCTTATTTCTACTCGTGACACAGGAGCTAACAAGTAGTGCAGGGGAAGATGTTGTGCTGGCAATGAACACATTTATAAAGCGCCTCTTGGCTGTTTCGGACCCTAGTCAAATGAAGGTACACCGTTGTAGATGCTGTCAATGCTTGTACTTCTTGTTGATACCAATTTTTGAGTGTCTAATTTCCTTCATAATTGATTTTGATGGAACTTAAATTCTTCACCATATGGAATGTCTATGCTAATACTTTAGTTATCTTTTCAATTTTATTGCTTAAATTAAGATAAATGACTGCTATCATAGTTGAGTAAAATAGAAGCAGTTTTCTATGCACACAATCTATAAGTTAATTTTACGGCTGACATTAACAAGGGTGAATACATTTTTAATGATAATATCTGTACGCACATTTGATCGAATATTTGCCTTTAGAAATTCTTTTACTTGACTGAGTTC